TATTCTTGTAAGCCTGTCACAGGTTTCCCATTTTCTATTTATAATAATATTGAATGAACTTATTTTCAAAAATAGACCGAACAATGAGCATAGCCCTAAACTCTAAAATATACAAGGATTTCCTATTATTCCTAGCTAAATAAAATTAGGGTTTATTTTCGCGAGCAATTAGCCTCGCTCCGGTGAAGTACCAAGATAGGCCTCTCTGGTCTCTGTTCGTATAAATAGGCTCGAATCTCGCGGTCCATTAATCTCGAAGAATCCATAGGCACGCAGGTCTGTTACGCTCCCCGATACTTCCTACCTCGGATGCTTCGAAATAGGAAAGCCGTTCACCATGAAGGAATCCATTCGAATTTGAATCGATGGGAACGAGCCATCTCTATCATTGGCTGAGACCGACCAACGCTAAAATTTTATTAACCCCATTGTATAATAGAAAAGCATACAACGATTGCTGAACAAATATTTCAAATGACAAAATTGGATATATTAAAATCCTCTTCCGTATTCCAGTTGATCAATGAATATATTATTGCCATAAGCAGTTCATTAAATGAAATCATAATAAATAAGTAGAATAATATTGAACGTGTAGCATAAAATTATTCTTGTTCAATAAAGAAACAAGATATCAAAATTACTAGGTTGAAAAAACTAGTTTCTGTGAAAAGGCTTTACGTTCTTCCCGAATTAGACGATGAATCTCGATCGTAGTTAATACGATTATTTTTCCCCTGATTGCTGATCCCTCTCGCGATAAGGATAACAGTAACGACGGTAATAATGACGGACTGTTGCGGACAAAAAAGTCACGCGAATTTTTCCGCGATGCAAATCACGATAGAGATCTCAAGAATAAGTGGAAGTCTGAGTGGATTAGTTTCAAATAATTGTTTAGAACCTTCCCACGTTTTTAAGAAATAATTAAAACAAGGTATTGAACAATATGAATATTTATAGAATTTCGTGCTTTAAAAGAGGAAGTTAATTATAGGGAAAAGTTGTAAATACAGTTGAAACAGATA